TTCCCTGTTCACCCAAGTGCCCCAGGTGATTCAAATTTTCTTTAAAAGATGTTTTAGGGCCTCCCCTGGAGGCACAGGTGATTGAGCACAGCGCTGCGAAGCTGTCCACAGCCTCTGCAGCGCAGGTTTGATCCAGCCAGCCAGGGAGCAACCCACATGGTGCAGCAGACGGCTTCTGACATGCCCGCTGCTCCCCTCAGCAGTGTATTTCATCAGTCTGCCTGTTCTGTTCCCTGCTCTGTCTCTGGTGAATCCTCTCACCCTCCCTGCACCTGGCCTGTACCCCGGTTCTTGTATACATGAATAAATCAATCTTTAAAAAAAAAAAAAGACGTTTTAGGCATTACCTGGGAAGCTGGGGGGCTGGGTCGGACGGTAGTGCTGCATCACTTGAGCCCCAAAAATGGCCTCAGGCTTCCTCTCCTGAGCAGGCCCCAGAGGCCACGAGGCATTGTCACTAGCAAGCCCATCCCAGGCTCCAGGGGCCACAGGGAACCATGTCCTGGACGGCGTCTACCCGGGATGCTGCATGGCCTAGCCAGGCCCGCTCCGCCCGAGTCCCGGGAAACAGAAACACCTGCCAGACCCTGGTCTCTTGCTCTCCCAGGAAACTGGATCCGGTTTTCATCTGACTGGCTGAACTATCCCCCAGCCGCATGGTGCCTACACCTCTCTGACTCGGCTTGGGCCTTTAAGTCGATGACGCAATTGACGAGTCCGTCAGTGAAAGGGTCCGGGTGAAAAATCACCAGCTGGGGGTACTTTTGCACAGGTGGCTGATGCAAGAGCTGGGCCGCTGCACGGACCTGGGTTAGATCAGGAGGAAAGGTTCCCAGGTGGGCCAGGCCCAGAGCCCTCATTCATGGTTGGTGTGTGACCCTTGCCCGGGTGCAGCCCAGCCTAGGTGTAGCCTAGCCAAGGTGTAGCCCAGCCCAGGACAAGCCTGGAAGGTGCTCGATCTCCTCCTGCCCGCTATTTAAAGGCCTACCCTTTAAATAGCCCCACGGCACACCGGCCTGCCTTTCTAAACTGGCTCCCTCATGCTTGAGTCTCTAATAAAGCCTTGCCTAGTTCAGCTACCACTAGGGCACACTGGTGAATTCATTCCCTAGTGGCTAAGGACCCACTTTTGGGGGTAGAGTACAATTGTGTGTTAAAATAACATCTCATCACCTGTAAAAGGTATAAAAAAAGGGGTTAAATTTTTCCCCCCTGCAGAAACACTATTTAAAAAGAGAACGGAGGGCCTCCCTGGTGGTCCAAGGGTTAAGTCTCAGTGCTATCACCTAGATGACCTGAGTTCGATCCCCTGCCAGGGAGCTAACCCACATGGTGCAGCTTATTTCACTATATCCGCCTGTTCTGCTCCCCACTCTGTCTCTGGTGAATCCTCTTAACCCCATTCTCCCCACCTCTGGTCTACACCCAGGTCTTCTATGCAAAATAAGTATCTTACAATAAAGGAATAATTCTTTAAAAAAAGTTCTAAAAAAAGAAAAACACAATGTGTATGTGAGGCCAACATACAGACAACACTTAACAATATATCAGACACACTGTTTCTGTGCATTATCTAATTTTCCTGAAGTGCAGAGTACTAGAACCATTTTACAAAAAGCAAAATATGAAGGTCACAGTTAATAACTTGTCTAAGACTACACAGCTATTAGATAACAAACAGATGCAAATCTAAACCAAAAGCCCGTACTGACCAGTAGTCAGCAGAAACAAGGAACTTTTTCAGATCTGAAACCACGACATGGTGACACTTACAAAACCAAGCGTGAAATGCAGATACATTAAGCAAAGGAATCAGGAAAAAAAGGGAAGAACTGTATTAAAGAGTTACTGTCTACAGCTCATCAGACCACATAATTCACAAACAGTGCATTTCCATTTCTGTTAACAGCATTCTACAATCTTACTGCTAGTGCAGCTATCAGGCTACCCAGAACTTTAATAGACACTTTTCTTCTTAAAGCACTTAATTATTCTCTTTTTTTTAAAGTTTTTTTTTAACATTTATTTATTTATTTATACAAGCATTGGGTACAGTCAGAAGCGCGGGAGGGTGAGAGAATTCACCAGAGCCAGAGCGGGGAGCAGAACAGGCAGACTGATGAAGTACACTGCTGAGGGGAGTAGCGGGTGCGACAGGAGAGGTCTGCGTGCCATGTGGGACCCTCACCGGTGGCCGGGGATCGACCTGGCGCTGCAGAGGCTGTGGGCAGCTTCGCAGCCCAGCACTCATCTGCTGCGCCACCGGGGAGGCCCTTAATTATTCTTTTCTTAGTCAGATTTCACACGAGACTTCAAACTCAGGAAAGCAGCAACGCCATCTGCCTCACAGACAATCTCAGTGTGGAAAGGCCCACAAGAAAGAGAAATACCAGTAAGCTGAAAGGGGCAAGCTACATAGATTTCTAAGTCTTCGGGGCAGTTGGTTTATTTCTGTGTTTTCTCCCTTTTCAGTACATTATACCCTTATAAAAGCCATCAACATAATGGCCAACTGCTTCCCTTCTTCTCCCTTCAAAGACACCAAACTCCTTCCCACTTGTGCCAGCCATTCTGCAAGGACACCAGCCTACACCCACCACCAGGCCACACTGTCCCTTCTCCGACCCCTGCTGTCAGAATAGCCGAGAGCCCAGCAGGCTGGCTTCCAGCTGGGTCTGGTCATGAGGCAGCATCAGCAGATTGGGGTGGACATTTCTGGCTGCCTCCCCGTCTTGGCATCACAGCTCAGGCAATAGCTGCCTCCAGGGCACTTTGAGTTCCATCAGGCACACCTTTCTTCATCTTTACTCTCCTGACATCTAGAAACACCTGTCCCTTTCCTTCTTGCTCTCGAGGCAGCAATGGCTGCAGGCTCTCAACTGTTCTCAGTAGCAATGGGGTGAGTGATTATATCCCCACAAGGGACACACTCTTTTGAGCCTAATCAGATGACAGGATGACCAGGCCCAGACTGTGTCCAACCCAGGAGGCAGCTGACTCCTGCTACTTTGTGCCCTGGCACAAAGGTGACTCTGGGAATTCAGTTATTATACAGCCTCACAGGGATAGCCTGCAATCAACTACCCTTTTTTTCTGTAATTAAGACCCATATCAAGCATTAATAACAACTTATCGTGACCCACAACTGCCTGCAGCTACCAGAGTCCCATCTACTGAGTAAGAATGTGAACTAAAGGAACACTCATGGGATCAAACTGGAATCTGTTATGGCCCAGAAAGTATTAGCGAAATCAATCAATTGAAGTATTCATTGCACATTAAGCTCCTCCAATAATCCGTTGACAAGAATTAACACCGATCAATGTCCCAACTAATGACATATAAAACGTTAGCTCTAAGTTCATATATTCAGCTAAACATCTTTTCACAAACAATTTTCCATTTTCCATATGGTCATATTGAGAATTCCTGGAATGCAGATTTCAAAAATTACACTTGACTTACTTTTAATCTTTATTAAAAATAAAAGAAATCCAGCAGCACAACGGATACACAACTATACAGTGTTTTCGATGGCTTTCCTATTCCTACTAAAGCTTCATGTTGGAAATGTCTACATATGCCTTACACGCTGAAGACTGTCACACTCGACCACAAGCTCAATGGCAGCAGCTTTATTGCACAAACATCCACGTAACACTGCATATATTTCCTTAACTCATACTGTGTCATAAAGTGCTATTCTTAGGTGGGAGAGCAACAAAGGCTACCAAACTCAGGAATTCTCCATGATATTTTCCACATGGGTTAGGGGAGAAAGTTAACTTAGCACACGACCAGCCTGAATAACACATTTCCAGTGGAAGAAATTATATACCAAAACAAAATACTGGCCCAAGAGTTTTGGTGAATCTATTAAAAGGATATCAAAAACATATCAAAATGATTAGTGCTGAAATGCGTAACAGTCTAGTTCCTGCACATTTTAACTTTAAAAATATAAGCAGCTTCAATAAAACATCTTTCACAAATACAAAATTTAGATAAAATGCTGTTTTTCTGATTAAAAGAACTTTTCACTTTTAAAGGGGAACACAGTCATTAAGATTTGTTATTATTCCTCGACAATTTAATTTGTATTTTTACTTGCTTATATTACAAATGCTTATTACCAAATCATGACCCATTGAAAATTCCAGACAGCTGACTAATGGCTCCACATTTTATAATATATTTAATGACATTAAAAATATATCATGAACTTTTCAATCACGTAAACATAAACCAGGACAGTTGACGGGCAGTATTTGTGCCAAGCAACAAAAACCACAAGACACAAAAATAGGGCAGAAGAACAAAAATGGCAAATACCAGAGTACCTTCATTAATATTTATGTAAAATAATTATTTGATGAAGACAGATTTCCCTGAAAAAATTTACATGAAGTGAAGAGCTTCATGTGTTAACTGAGTATTTTGTGGTTCCTGCCAGAAACCACTTTGCTACACATGCAGGGGGGGGCATCACAATTAGGGGACCTTACAAGTATCCTTCACAATACAATTTGTGACTTTAAAAAACAAACAGCAGTATTCATTTTCCAGGCAATAGACTCTTAATATTAGTTATACACCTCAAAATACATAATTCTCCATTAAATATACTACCATTCTATTGTCCGTTTCTTTTTACCTATCTAGACCAATGCAAGACACAGCACTTAATTACTTATTTCTATCCATAAGGCAGTTTTAAAAATATCCTCTTAGGACATAAACATGATAGAAAAATGAAAACCCAAACACGAAAGAAGCATAATAAATATTTTTGTACTCCTCTTCCTCCTCCAAAAGAAAGAAGTGTGTGCATCAGCAACACCAACTGACATAAATAAATTAGATGTGCTGTTCATAAGAGGAGAAAGGCCATCTCGACGCACACTTAACCAGTTGGGAGTTAACCAGGAAAGAGCGTCTTTGCACCTGCCGCTTGGGAAAAGCCGGGCTGTTCAGGTTTTCTGTGTTTTAAGAAGAAATACACACAACAAACCAACCTGGGGACAGATACGTAGATGATATGTATTTAGTTACGAAGGTGAACACCGAGGCATTTCTCTGCCATCGTCCAGCCCCAGTCACATCAGACGCTCGCCCTACACGGCCTCTTGGTACTCGAGGTATTTTGCAGTGATGGGCTCCTCGAGCTGCACCGCGCCGCTGCCCATCAGCGCGAAGGCCGGGTACATCATGTGCGAGCAGTCCACCTGGCGCTCGTACAGGCACCTCATGTGGTCCATGTCGTAGAAAGCCACCTTGCCTTTCTCACAGTCGAGGAGGACCCCGATGCTGGTGGGCATGGGGAGGACTCGATTTTCGGGTTCGTTAGAAGTCGGTGACTTGGGTATGAAAAACTTCTTCATGCCGATGGTGACTAACGTGAAGGGCTGTGAAGAGTCAAAGCAGGCGTCTTCGCTTCCGCTGTCGTGGCCGCTGTCTTGCTCGTACCTGAGACACAACACACAGAGGCTCACCTGCACCGCTGCCCGCAGGCTGCAGGGCCTTCAAAGCACTTTCGCCACAGACAGACTGGAAACTAAAACGAGTTATACTTCAAAAGCTTCCCGCTAAAACAAACACCAGGATTCCACAAGAGCCACTTAGGATGGCATCTCCAATTCAGCCTCAAGTTCTCTATCCTCAAGCATCATCCACTTTTACCTGGGCACATACACAGGTGGGGAGCTAAACATAATCACTTTGGCTTAGCAAACCTCAAGTGGTCAGGGGGTGAAGAGAACTGGACACCCTAACCCATGGACTTAGCAGCTGAAGTAAAACCAGTGAGAACTGCAAAATAATGCTGTTCTCTTAGCTCTCTTTACGGGTTGGGGTTTCTCTCTGGAGCTCTGAGGTAAGCAAGTATTATGGAGATGTTTTTTCTTTCTGCTCTAAAATAGTAGCATCTTACAGAAAAATTTGTTTGCTTTTTACACATTTGAGATGATACTCCATCAACCAGGTTAAAGAGGTTTTTTCACTTCTAATATTTCTCATGCTAAAATATGTCTCACACTTTTCAGCATTTACTAAGACTAACAATCTACCCATTATGCCTGCTATTTCTCTATTATAAAACAGTCAGTGAGATTTCAATTTCTTACATCTGTGACAAAGTTTTTCCTACCACTTAGACTGTTCACCTGGCATTTCTGCTCACATAAGTGGACGAAGATGACTTAGGTGAGCTAATTCACCCTGCACCATACCCAATGAATGAAACTGCAAGATCTGCAAAATCTCCAATAAATAAATGGTCAATCTCTTAAGGAATTCAATTTCTTTGCTGTGGAAACATGTTTACCTTGACCCAAATTAGTACAGTGTTTATGGGAGAATTTAAAGAAACTGTGTTCCATGAGAAAAGAGCAGCTCATTAACAGCGGCAGCATGCCAACTCAATATATATACAGGTATTTTTGCCACATAATTAAAGTAATTGATGTAAAAAGATATTCACGCTTCCAACTATGAAGCCACATCATAATCGAGAGGTATCTGAAACAGACACATTTCCTCCTGGCATCAGAACTGAACTGCCCAGAATTGTCACTCACTGTGTAAATTCTCAGCCCGCCTCATTCGCATTGACACCGCCCTTTAACCTAAGAAATGCCTATTCTGAATGTCAACACTACCTCCACGTCTATCTTGCAGTCCTCTTACCTTGAAAAACAAGGGCGCTTACTTTTAGAAGAATCATCAAGTTCTAGGCCAGGAAAGGGACCTACCGTGGGCTGGCGGCATCCCGGGGAGAACGCAGCCATTCTTGGAGCTTATCGCTGGAAGCCACTCCTGCTTTCACCAGGTAGGAATACGGCTCCACACGGAAGGCCCAGAAGTGCTTCCCCTTGGTGATGCCCACGTCGCCGATGATGTAGTCCAAGCTCGTGTAGTAGCCCACCTGGATGCGGTCCGCAGCCAGGAGAAGATTGAACCCGGCTCTACTCTCAACACGATCTCGCTTCAAGTTCAGTAAGAGATGCTCATTATTATACCCACATTTTTCATCAAAGAGGAAACTGAAAACTATAAATAGAGCTTAAGATTAGTCTGAAGATTGTTCACTAGCATGTCTATAATTTACAGTTCAATGATAGCATCTTCATATAGAAATGACTGAATAGAGAGGAAGAAGAATGTGTCAGTCTACCTAGACTAATTATGAGAAACCAAAACCGTACCCAAAAAATAATGTCCAGGGCCTCCCTGGTGGTGGAAGGGGTTAAGACACAACCTATGAAGCTCTCCGCAGCCACTGCAGCACAAGTTTGATCCCCAGCCAGGGAGCTATCCACATGGCGCGGCAGACCTCTCCTGATTCGCCCGCTGTTCTCCTCAGCAGTGTACTTTGTTCAGTCTGCCTGTTCTGTTCCCCACTCTGTCTCTGGTGAACCCTCTCACCCCCCTTTACCTCTGGTCTGTACCCCAGTTCTTGTATGCATAAATAAATAAATCTTTAAAAAAAGAAAAGAAAAAACATGTAATATATTCCTGATACTTAAAATTCCTCAGAGATATAAAAGCAGAAAAAAATATCTTAAGTGTATGAAAAAATTGATGAAAACAGTTCCTTGGAATAGATACAGCAAATCTCCACTAAGTATTTTTCACTACTGACTCTGTTCTCCAGCCCTAAAATAAGGGGATCTACATTTCTCTAAATAGCTATATACTTTCTTAAATATTTTTCCCATATTTTTATTTTTATTTTAAGATTTATGTTTTATACAAGAGCTGGGGTACAGGTCAGAGGCATGGGAGGGTGAGAGGACTCACCGGAGACAGAGCGGGGAGCAGAACAGGCAGACAAACCAAAGGCACTGCTGAGGGGAGCAGCGGGCGAGACAGGAGAGGTCTGCCACGCCATGTGGGTATCTCCCTGGCCAGTAGGGAATCGAACCCGCACTGCAGAGGCTGTGGACAGCTTCACAGCGCTGCGATCAACCCGCTGCGCCACCAGGGAGGCCCAGTCTTTTCCTTTTTAATCAATATAATAAGAGATAAGAAATAGTGTAAAGTGTTTTTGCTTTTTTTTAAAAGGCAAGATTTTAGGTTGAGAGAGACCTGGAATTGAGACCTTGCGCAGAACCCCTGCTCAAGTCGCTAAGCAGTGGTTAACCTAAACTTTAATTTCCTCAACTGCAGAATAGAGGTAATACCACTCTTCTCTTACTGGGATGCAAAGGAAACCACCCCAGACCCCTCTGGACTCTTGAAGGTTGGTGACTAACGAAACAAGCATCAGACAAACTGCTGAGAAAAAGTCAAAGAAGTTTAAAATAACGTGTACCTCTATAAAGCTAAGTGACTCACCCATTAGGCTTCAGAGCCAACTTAAATAACTAAGAACTATTTCTGGATTGAGAAAGGGTGAGGGTCAGTTAAGGAGGTTACAGGGGAAGGCACCGTAACAAAGATTTAAGTTCTGCCCTCTCCCAGGAAAAGAAGTTAAAGTTTTGCCAGTACCTGCCCTTTCAGTGATTACATGTAAATATTTTCCAGAAGTACCCTCCACACAATCTTCAGCGCCCCTCCTGTGTAACCCATCTTTTGCCCAAATGGCATATTGGGGGTTCGGGGGAGAGAAGAAAAAAACTGCTTCCCTATAGACTCTGTCAACTCAAATTCATTAAGCCCAACACTGGATGCTGGCCCCAAAGCTCAAACAATGCCAACGTTCTTTCAGCAACAGGTGAATGGATAAAAGGGATTATCAGTGCAGCCTTAAAAAGGAAACTTTGCTATATGCTACATGGATGAACCTGAATACCAGCAAGTCACAAAAGCATTCCATGGACCCATTCATACGAGGTACCTGGAACAGGCAGAGGAGAAGGTAGAAGAGGGCCTTCCGGGCTCTGGTGGGGGCAATGAGGAACTGTTTCATGGGCACACAATTTTCATTTGGAAGAATGGAAAACTGCTAGAGACTTGCGAGGTGACAGTAGCACAAGACTGAATGTACTTGATGCCATGGGTGTGCATGTGCAGAAATGGTCCAAGTGAGAAACAGCACACCACAGTAAAAAGCTGTAACCATGCCCCTTGCCAGCTGCCATTCTTCCTGGTATGACAATCATCCTTTCAATCACCTCGACTCTGCCAACATGCAACATAAATCTAAACGATCACCCTATTCCTGTGGCTTTTCTTAGAGAAAAGGAAGACAGCCCTTTGCATTTCCTTCCCTCCCTGCCCCCATGCTGTTACTGAAAACAGCAAAGACTGTGAGGTTGCTTTTCTCTTCCACTTTCAGTCAGACTAGAAAAGAAAGCAGAAGCTGCACAAGCTAGAAAATATGCATTTAATATTTGGGACTCTACCTAGGTGACTCCACAGCATCTTCTTAAAAGTTGTACAGGAAATAATTTTAGCTGACCTTATTCAGTTGCATATGTTCATCTTTTTAAGTAGCCACAAAGTGCATGGTAAACTAACAGTGGATAATACAGTTTGCACAAAAAGGGAAGGAAGTGCAGAGAGCAGAGACTATGGGAAGATAAATCTCTCCAAGAAGGCAGGGCAACAGGATCTGAACACCAAATGGAGGACTCTCCAAGGCAAAACCATTTCCTGCTACCAGAGTGAGCACAATCTCGGGTCTGAGTGTCCCTGGCCCCTGGGCTCTGGTGCGGGATCATGGGCTGTGGTGGGGCAACTAGGGACCACGCCCGAGGGGGGAAACCCAATACTGTACAAAAATGAACAGAGATATAAGAAAATAAATAAATGTAATTAAAAAAAAGAATAAAATAAAGGTCCTTGTCCCTGGAGACAATGGAGTGAACATCAACTCCCTAGAGGTCATTCCCATTCTACAACATGCACAGCACTCTCTAAGAAGTGTCGGTGGTTGATAAGTTGGAAGGTGGGTAAGGGATGCTGGGAAGGAGCTGCTAGTATGGGGGGGCGGGCAGCTACCTGTGTGGTTCTGATACACGACCCATCCCCACATGCTGGGAATCAACATTCCAATATTACTGAAATTTCTATGAGTTGCTTTAAAAATTACAGAATTATGCTAGTTCAGAGTTGCTGTTTTAATCTCAAACTTAATAGTCCTGCTCACTGAAATGTCCTCCTTTTCATATTGTTCTATATTTGACATCAGTGAAAAATAGAATCCTGTTCTCAGTCTACAAGGTGAAATTCCAGGACCCAATCTCTATTTCTAAACCCTAGCTGGGCATGCAATCCAGCTTTTAAAACCTATTGTCACAGTGTGGTCCCCAGGGACAGGGGAGGGTGCAGGGTCTCTGCCATACCCAAGGGAGAGTGGAGCTGAGCAGGGAGGAGACGCTGGAGAGACGCCTGGGGAAGGAAGGAAGCAGGATGGAGAGCACGGAGGAGGCCTGGAGGAGACACGTGGAGCAGAGAGACACATGAAGAAGCTGTGCTTGCTTTTTGGCCCTGGACTAGTTGAAACAGATGTGGGTAAGAGACCCATGGGAAGGTGAACAATGGCAGCGTTTATCTTGATTTGGATTTTGCTCTTTTCCTCCCAGGCTTGTCAGGCTGTTTTTGACCCTTTTCTATGAGTCCCTGCTGGAAGGAGCTTTAGACTTGTGGCAGCTTTCAGGCCTCAGAGGCCCTGCTTTGGGCCAACCCTGTTTGGCTGGACACTTACCCACAAGGGGATGGGTAACTGGGTGCTTGATTTGGAAATTATATTCTTCCCATTTCTGTATTACACACTAATTATATTAAAGTTCCTTCCCATAAAAGTTCTTATACACTAGTTTTGTCTTGATGTGGTGGATGACATAACATACTTAGAGTGGGCAGGTTTGGGGGTTCTGGGGTACCCCGCTCCCCTACCCCATAACACTCTTACAAATGAGAGCCTGTGTCCAGGTAGGTCTACATGAGACACCAACTAGTTTCCCAGGTTCTCATTTAGGTCTGTAATTTTCCTTTGCACTATGCATAATACCTGGAGCTGGAGGAGTGCGAAGAATCAGTTCTCTGCTGTTCGGACTACAGATGGAACCCTTGTAGGCTCTTACTCTGAAAGCATAGTTAGAATTGCTTTCTAGGTCTGAAATCACTTTACTTGTGCCAAATACTTCTATCTCATTCCAAGACAACATTTCTTCATCTCTATTAATCTTCCGATATTCGAGGACATAGCTATCTGCTTTATCCTTTTCTGGATGATGCCAGTTTATCAAAGCATTGTTATACACTTTGCTCTGCTCCTCATTGATCTCTGGCACATCTATGCCTGAAAAACATATGGGAAAAAATTAAAATATTGTTATTTCAGAAGTCGTGTGTTTCTGCAATAAAAACAGTTTGTTGACAATACTCATTGATGCCTGTCTGTCCAAGAATTTTCTAAATTTATAATACCCTGTACAAGAACAAGAATAAATCCTGAATATGTAACACGGCTGGATAGTGAGGACATTACGTGAAGTATAATCAATCAGACACAGACAGACAAGTACTAACCGCATGATTCCATTGAGATGAGGAATCTAAAATAGATTCCTAACATCAGAGAGTGGAATGGCGGTCCCCAGGAGGTAGGGGGAGGGGAGCAGGGTAGTTCACCAGACAAAAAGCTTCAGCTAAGCCAGACAAGGTCTAGAGAGAGCAATGACCTACAGTCGACATTAACATACTTAAAATCTGTCAACACCGGGCCTCCCTGGTGGCACAGGGGCTAAAGTCTCAGCACTATCAAGCTATCACCAGGCACTGTGGCAGCTAACACATATATTGCACAGCAGACCTCTCCTGTCTCGCTGGCTACTACCCTCAGCAGTGTATTTCAGTCAGTCTGCCTGTTCTGCTCCCCATTCTGCCTCTGGTGAATTCTCTCACCCCCCACAGCTCTAGCCTGTACCCCAGGTCTTGTATGCATAAAGAAATCTTTAAAAAAAAAAAAAAAACTGTAAGAAAAATACAAAGCAATGTCACTTATACAGTTTTTAAAAACAAAGGAACCAATGGAATAGTTTTTGCACATATGGACAGTTAACAGAAACATTCATAGGATAAGACTGTAAGCTATGATGATTCTAATCACTGAGATACTGCTTTGTAATGTCGACAAAAAAAACAGAAAGAGATTTATTTTTCTACACAATATGATTTCCAACTGAAAGAGTGAGGTTTTGTCATTATGAAAACTTACCACTAGAGAAAAAGGACAGTTCTTCGAGAAGTTCTGTTTGTTTAGATGTATTAACGACGTAGTCTTCAAAAGAAGTCTGAGCTGCAGGTCGAAAGCTCTTCAAAGACTCTGTAGCTTTCTGTATTCTGCAGACAATTACATTCTATATGAAAACAATTCTTTAAAAAGGAAAATCTACATATCCACAAAATGATTAACAACAACAAAAAATCTTCATTTGAGAACAAGTGGTGGTAACCAGCAGGGAAGGGGGAGGGGCTGTGGGTATGGGTACAAAAGGGCCTTGGTGGGGGAAGTCTAGTGCTGGACTTAAGTGGTGATCATCACCACCCCCCCCCCCGCCCCTGCATAGGTGGAGGTTTTGAAAGCAGCAGCCCAAGTAGTAAGCCCAGCTGCCCTTCAGAAGGTCTCGGCCTGGCACACACAGTAGTGCAGTATGTGCTCTCCACAAAGGTGCCTGGACACAGAGAGTCCTGGGAGCTGGAAGAGAGTGAGAGGGAGAAATACAGGCCAGGCTTTCATGCCAAGTCCTGTGCCCTATTGGAAGTCTGGGTCTTTCTTCATCTTTGTCAGTTTGCTAATAACAACACACTGGGACATTCCTTTCTCCCCCAGGTCTCAGTGGTGACCTCCATGAAGGGTGGACTCGGCTCATGCCCACCAAGCACAGCCGAGGCTCACACACCACAATGCAGCATTACTTCAAGAAAAAAGAAAACATTCAAGCTGGATGGAGTCGGGTGTGAAGAGGAAGGTGCTCCCAGCGCTGCACGATGAGCCCCTCAGGGCTGAAGGGGCCGCACCACCGCTCTTAGGGGTCAGGAGGAAGAGTACCTGAGGTGGAGCTGTTTTGCTGTCTGTACAAAGCAAGACTGGTCCGTCTCCTTGAGCACTTCTTGCGCATACCCTACAAGCCCATTGTTCTCAAGGAGTCCCTGATATTCTTCCATTTGCGTCTGAAATTTGTCTAATCTTAGTTTCTTAGAAGCATCAATTGCTTTTAAAACAGATGATTTCCTCTCTTCTAGAATCTCAAAGAGCTTTTCAAAATGTGTAATGGCTTCTTCTTTCGCTCTCTCACCGTTGCACTAGCATAGAACAAACAAAGCATTACCTCATCTGCTAGATCCACACCTTGTGCCCAAGTCTACAGGGCATCTACATGATGACATAATAACCAAAAGTTAACAAAACAATTGCAGATGTTGTAAAGAAAAAAGTCTCGTTTGACTCTGATATTTTCAGTAATTTCGCATCAAACACGCTTAGCGAAGAATGACTGGCACCTTGATTGAGGCTTATTTTGTAATTTTATAACTACCATTTTCTCCAAGCTCCTATTGAAGCACAATAAATAGAAAAATGTAACATTTAGGTGTACAGATTGAGGAATCTTTTGCAAACACAGCCACTAACGAGCATCCAAAGTGAGTAGAACATCACCCACATCCCAGAATCCACTTATCAGCTTTCCAGAAACCAATTCTTTCCCTCTCCATCCTGAAGTGTAGGGCCTAGTTTCACCTTCTTTGCTACTTTCTGGACAGCATCACATGAATAACATGGTACCTCTCTCAACATTACTGCAAGCTTTAGTAGCACTGCTGGAAATACTTGTAGCTATTTCTTCTTTCTGCAATTTATGTTTCACTACAGTTTCTACTTTGTGGCCACCACAAACAATGCAAGCAGGAAGGCTGGAATAGCTGTCTTTTTTTTTTTTTTTTTAAGATTTATTTGTTTGTTTGTCTATTTATTTATACAAGCACTGGGTACAGTCATTAGCATGGGAGGGTGAGAGAATTCACCAGAGCCAGAATGGGGAACAGAACAGGCAGACTGATGAAATACACTGCTGAGGGGAGCAGCGGGCACGGCAGGAGAGGTCTGCGCGCCATGTGGAACCCTTGCGGGCAGCCGGAGATCGAACCGGCAATGCAGAGGCTGTGAGCAGCTTCACAGCCCAGCGCTCAACTGCTGCGCCACCAGGGGAGGCCCGGATGGCTGTCTTCTGCAGAGCATATACTCGGGAATATCTGGAACCTTCAATAAACCTGTTCTTACCCACATCATACATTCTCCAGAATCTTCCTCATAAATTCTACAAGACAGATAATTGCAAAGGCTACCATTTCCCTGTCACTGTCAATTTTGAATCCTTTCTAATTGCCACATTTAAAAAGAGTTGGTCATTATTCATGCTCCAATATTAGCCAGTTGCTGCCTCAACCCCAGCAATGACCACAGAGCAGAATATTCTTTACAAAGGTTTCGTGTCTTCAGGAAAGCATGGTAACATCTACACAACCAGGGACTCCCCGTTCACATGATATCCCAGGACATTAGGACTGAGAAAACAAATGTCTAGGTGAGTAGATGAAAAACGGACACCCTTACCTCAGTTTCTTTCATGAGCAAGTTAAGTTCTGAAATCTGACTCTTCACCTGACTTTCCTTACCAATAAGGTAGTCAATATCCTTTGAAAGCTTTTCCTGTTGGAACACAGTAAAAACACAGATAGGCAGAAAGAAGAGTTTACCAAAGATGTCTCAGAAATTGTTTTTCAATCACACAGTACGTGTCCTCTCATATAGCCCATGATGAACAGTGAAGACTGACATTATGAGGTTAATTCATGCAAGTTCTGAATACACACTAACACATTTTTCGTATTTCATCGTCATTCTAAGAATGCTTCCTCCTAAGATTTCTAAGCAAATCAAAGGGAGGCAATTGAAATGATAATATCCTCCAACAAATTTTATAATTATTTCTGTCACATACATGGATAAGATAACAAAGATAAGATAATACAGATAACAAAGATTATTCCAAAATAATCTACATAGCCCATCCAACCCTAAATGTTCATTCAACAGTACCAAAAATATACACTTAGGAAAACAGGTTATATCCAGAGCTTGCTGAAAAAAAAATTTTTAATAATTTTGAAATTAGCCAAATTTACCAGAAACAAACTCATAGATTTTGATGCGAGCCCTAGTCTAGTCCAGAGCACATAAGTAAATGTGCCTGGAGTATGTTAAAACACAAAGGCCTCTCAAGCCACAGTGCTGACAGGAGGAGCTGAGATTTCTCAGGCACTGCAGATGACCTGAATAAAAAGGGTGAGTAAGAAAAGGTGGGCAGAGAGCCAGCTTTTAGGAATTTAAGCAACGAGTCTCCTACTTCATCATCTTGTGTTTCTCACAGAGCCTGGAGGACAGGATCACTGTAAGGAACAGGAGGCAGGTCTCTGGCTGGGTGGCTGACTAGGGGGATAGAGAAAGCCTTGCTAGGCAGGGGGATTAGACTTCTGGGGACTATAGGGGGGACCCAGAAAGAACTTGGAGACATAAGTCAAATAAAGTTATAAAGAACTGAAATGAGCTCCCCAAACCAACAGGTCCTACCTTTAAGGTTTTGTAGGCACTGCTCATGGTGGTGACGCGGTGCGTAGAATGAGTGCCACCCAGCTTACACAGGTGGCACACGGGCCGCCTACACAGCTCGCAGTACAGGTTGATTCGCTCTGTTTCATGTTCCGGGCACATTAGAATCTGTCGACAAGGAAAAAAAAAAAGTGCGCTGAAGGATCTTCATAGCTAACCTGGCACCCAAAAAAGGTTTCCAGTGATCAGAGAAAGTGCCCAAACACAAAGATTTGCTTTACAAAGTCACTAAATAGTCATTTAAAGGACAAAAAGTGCTAGCCAAAATAAAAGCACCTGTACAGCACATGTAAATCCCCTGTATTAGAATTACTTGCTTTTAAATTTGAGAGTTCAAGGGTTAGTTAGGTGTGTGGATGTTATTTCCGTTAAATTTGGTGATAGGAAGGTGAAATGTTCATTTCTATCAGACTCGAGTGGAATGCTGAGCCAGCGAGACAGGTCCTCGGACCCCAGTGACAAGGTAGGTAGGTAGTCATGATGGTCGGTGACTTTAATATGGTGTCATAACATACACGCTATGAGAAGCCATGGCCTCCCTATTCTCAATAGAAATCTGTTCCTGTCTCTAGAAACTCCTGAAACACTTTATAAGCTTCCAAATGTGTCTGCTTTTACAAATTAATGGCACACACACTGTTCAAATTTAGAACTGCATTTTTCTGAATTTACTTTTGACCTTGTTATTTCCTCTGTAAACCACCACCATTGGTACATTTGATGTTACATAAAATCAAATGGAAGGATTTTATTTAAAAGAATACTCTAATTTTTTTTTCCCTAAATAAGGCTAAATGTGTCTGGACTAGAAAATAATGTGTTGCCACGATCAGAGCAGAAGTAACAAGACAGACCTCTGTGGTGGTGCAGGGGTTAAAGTCTCAGCACTATCAAGCTATGGCCAGCCCCTGCAGCATGAATTCTATCCCCCTCAAGATTGCGGACCCACATGGTGCAGCAGACCTCTCCTGTCTCGCCTGCTGCTCCCCTCAGCAGTGTGTTTCAGTAAATCCGCCTGCTCTGCTCCCCATTGTCTCTGGTGCATCCTTTCACACACACACACACACACACCCTGCACCACTGGCCTGCACCCCAGTTCTTGTGTGCATAAGTAAATAAAAATAAATCTTTAAAATAAATTAAATACAATATGAAATTTTACTTTCTGCACGGGATGATCACAAAAACTCAAAGTTATTGGCAAATATTCTGTCAGAAGGAACATCTTTTAGATTTCTACAATATTGTCTAAAGCTGGTGACTTGGAAGAAAACACTGTTATCAGTAATTCCTGTTCCTCTGTTTTAAGCAGAAACAATCTTTTATTATATTTGTGAATAGAACAACACTGCTATTTATATTCAAAATCATTCTTAACTCATAAAATCTCAAGCCCAACTCATTTAATAAGCACAAGTCCTTTCATTATGGAAGCATGTTCATCTTAAAACCTGAAAACATGAGGTTGAGTCATAAATTGTTAAAAATCTATGACCCTGAGCATTTAAATCAGATAAGGAACATAATGGATGACTAAAAACTCCTTGTTAAGAGTTTGAGAGAACAGTCATTCAAAATATGGTAACAGAAATTGCTTTTATTTTAGTCTACTAGTCCTGAGCTAAATCTGCTGTAAGAAAATACTTGGCTCAGAGTTTTAAGAAACTGAGGATTTTTCCCATTTTTTTAATTACAAATGAAGTCTTTTAAGCTCAAAAAAGCAGATTTTCATACTCAATAATTACTGGATTATCAGGAATATGAGCCTTAATTAAGAGAGTCAATTAAAGTGCTTTTTAAGTCTACACAATTCAGAAAGCAATATAGCTGAAGACACCTAGAAATCATCGTTCTTCAGTCATGTAACAGGGCAAACAACAGTGCATAACATTTTTGAGTATAAATAGAGAAATTATAATCTTTAAGAAATGTGCATCCACTTCAAATATAATATAGTCATCATATCACAAGCTTCAAAATACTACTAATCTGAGATTACTTTTACGTAATATAATTGTGGCTAACTACAGATGCCAGAAAAATGCTTCCCAATTCCATCACATTATCACACTATGACCCAGAAGCATTTCAGCTTTAACCAAGTCAATCTCTGTGTGCACGATGAGGATAACCATCTTGCTCTGTGAGTCAGTTATCAGCACAACTGTCCATGCATTGTGCTGACTACATGGCATCCTAACAGGGTGAGCCAGGATGCTCCCTACCAAGCAGTGGAGATGTTTAATATCATCCTTAAATCAACCATTAGACTTTAATTTCTTGTATCTGCTTTCAAAGCTATGTCTTTCCCTCTATGGACAATTTAATAACTTTTTTTTAATATAATCTGAAGTGTAATATGCTAACTGAATAAACACTTCACTTACCTTGGGTCTAAAATTAGTAGTTGGACCCACATACTCATGCTGAGCCTTCACGGTACCCCAGGGGTGATAGATTTTGAAGCACTCGTTGCAGTAGCTCGCACTACAGTCCATGCAGCTTTTTGTGGACTCCTGAGGCGGTGGCTTGCAGAGGTCACACATGATGGCGGTGGCTGCCCTGGCTGCCTGCCGATACCTTTCCACAATAGTTTCCAAAGTGAAATTTCGGAACAGACCACTGATGCCTCGTTCTCCAAGATCCACATCATGCTCACACCCAGGACAAGGAAAAGTGGTTGTCCTGGGAGTCAATGAGTTTCGCTTCCAGCCTGCGTATTAGTGAGCCTTTGTTTAGTTACATCAGCAGGAAAATGAATAGAACGAAGGAAAAAGGAGTCATGTTTTGGGGAGACGCATATAGGAAAATAGATTCCCAAAACATAATACTCAAAGAGGCTTAATTTGAATTAATCAGTATTTTGGAAATGCTTTCTTGAAAATGTTTTTCCCTTGGTGTACAAAAGGAAAGCCCCTATGACTAAGTAGTTTTTAAATCAAAGAGGAAAGGATTCATTCTACAGTAAATTCCATACCAAAATCAGCGTAAGTCAAACAGATAAAACAACAAAACATTTAATACAATACTACACAGGGTCAGAATCTACTGACTTTAAAAAATCAACAGCTACAGTTTTTTTCTGTATTTCAGAGCCAAAGGAATTTGGTGTCCATTTCAATAGACAAGGTCTTGGCTGGCTCACAGGAAGGGAGCTCATGGATTAAAAAGCAGGAGTCTTTCACCTGAAGTCCATGGGCAGACAGATCCAAATCGTCATGCAGACTATTTGAAATTGGATGAAAATGTCTGCATCTGAATACCTATGTATGCCTTCTGGTTAAACACTTCATTGCTTTTAGCACAGGAATAAATGAGTAGAAATTGTTAAGAACCGTTGCAATAGGGGGTTTCCCACTGTAGTATTGTTTTATTTCTGAAAGCTCAGTAGGCAAAATCATGAGTAAGTAGAGTGTAATCTATAAATAAAGAGTGAAAAGCTCATTCACAGATCCAGAATCTGGGAACTTTAAGAGGGACCAACCATTTAATATCTTCTTATAACCTGAAAAAAACAATCACTAAGATTACTGACTTCAGTAAGCCAAAATGTACCTCCCCCAAAATTACAAGTAATTTTACAACATCTAATCATACAGAAAATAACCTCAAACCTCACACTTTTGTTCATTATTATCCTGATTGGAAGAAATGGCAGTCAAACATGACAGTTCTTACCCAGCAGTTGACAAGAATCCAGGTTTGTCCACTGAGCATCACATTCCGGCCTTTTATTTATGGATCTATTCTTAGATAGGTAGTGCTGCTGGCCCACAAGATAACTCCCAAAATATAAGCACAAACTTCTTAACCTACAGCCTTCCACACCATTATCTGGTACCCAGAATGAATGGATAGACTTACTGCACCACACATTTCGAAAAGGTCTGTGACCAGCTGTGTGACAGTCACTACATCACATTACTATCGTTGCTGAGAGATGGTCTTGAAAGATGTTTGAGGTGAAATCCCACAGGGAACACCCCGCAGGCAGCCCGCAAGAGTATTAATGAAGGGGCTCTACAGCATGCTAGGTGGCGCTGAGCTAGGAAGGCAACAAGCATGCAGCATGTTTGTAACACCTTCATTTAAAGGTATGTTTAATCTTGATCATTTTAAACATAGTGAAAAAATTACAGAAGGGCTGCCCAGTAAAATTTCAATAATTCTACATGAAATATATTCTTGCAACCATTCTGCAACATGCAGTGACAGTCAAGATGTTTCACACCACAGCAGGCACATAATGAAATAAGCTGCAGAGCTACTTTTAAAACACATGCCAATGAAAACTTCATTTAGTGACAAGACAAGCCAAATAATTCTAGAAATGGCAAGAGTGCAGTGGTCAAGTTTAAACAAATGGAAATTCATGTTCAGTTGCATGCTTCCATGCATGAACTGGATGACAGAAACAGAATGGATAAGTAAACTCGGCAGCGCTCTTTAACATGGGCTATCATACTGCTTTTAGGAATTGAAGGTTGTGATCCATTAAGTAATGGGGTAAAATAAAATTACCTTATGACAACAAAATGGTGCTTTAACATATACACAGGTGACACCTCGATTCTGGCCTTCCTGGGGAGAATTTTCAAAAAAGTTCTTTCATCCCTTTTCTGTCAACCTCTTTAAACATATTACGGTGGGATAAAGCATCACACGAACTTCTTCAATCAGAAAATCAATAGATCTTGGTTATTTTTCTCAACAGAGCTCCAGCTTTTTTAAATTAATGCTAAAGAACTTTAGGTGAAAGTTCTTTCACCTTTCTCATATGTCCACCATGTTTTCTTAAAAACAACAGAATATTCCAGGCCAATAAAATGGACAAATCTGAGGATATTTTGGGATATAAACCTAATGGGAAAAATATGTCCAGACAGTGGAACTCAGGATAAAATGGACATTAAAAAATCGGCTCCTGGTTTGCATATTTCAAATTCTCAATAGTCAGAGATGACTGATGCCATCCTGTAGGGTGCAGGGTCATGCACCCCCCTGACCCTGGACACTGTGGGATAGTAGTGTTCTACAACACGAAGAAAAGTAATGACAGCTTAGGAAGGTAAGGGAGCTAAGCAAGCTGAACAATGCAGTTTTATAACTTAAACTGCATGGGTGGGGGATCAGGGAGTAGTAACACTGGCAAATTATTTCAGTACTGTTACCTTGCAGAATCAGTTCTTTTCCCCATATGCTTTACTTCAAAGACAAGCAAGTATGAAAGAAGACTGCCCCAAATTTCTCCTCAGTTTGTGGCAAATCTCATCAATTTGTCAACTCTCAGTCATATATGTTTTACCATTAAAATGATAAAAGAGAATCGAGTGTTTTAAAACAAAGATGGTCAGTTCGTAACAGGTTCCCAGCCTGTGCCAGTTGCATCCTGTGCCTGTTGCATCCTCGGCCACACTCTGGCTGCAAAAGGCTTCGCCACTGCTCTGCCTGGCAGGTGAGTGCTCCCCTCCCCAGGGGCTGCTAGGTGTCTGACCACCAGCGGAGGGTTTATGCTGCCTCCTGCTTTCTCCTGGCACATGCTGGCTGGCTGATGCCTGTGAGTTCCAATGCCTTCTGGTATCAGCATTTCCAAACTGCACAAACTTTTTGTCAACTACCCTTGAATCAAACATAAACATCGTTGTTTTAAGCAAACTGCTCTTATCTTTCCTTGTAATTCTAAATTTCAACCCTTAAAAGCCTCAGGGACTCACTGAAGAGTATGAGAGGATTATACGAGGCTTCTAGGTGTGAGTTTTAGATGAAGCCGTGCAGAGGAAGACAGAAAAGGGATAACATTTCAGGTGCTTATTCTCTCCAGTTAAAATATAAGGTATCACCAGCATTCCAAAAAGAGTAGCCAATTTTATTTTAAAGGTCAACTGGAATAAACAAAAATCCTTTGAATAACAGGTTGGTCCATCTTTCACACAGGATTAAATACTTCAGAAAGTCTAAAACAAGCAGTATACAGTATTTACCCACCAATGGGTAAGACCTCAAAGATAAAACTCTGATTGCAAAGACTTTTTCATATTAGCAGACACCATATGCATAAAAATAAGATTGTTATGAACAATCAAAATGATTGTTATGAACAACAAAAATGATCAGTATCTTTAAGCAAACATTAAACATACAAGAAACTAAGGGTTTATTTAACTTTCCCAAGGCAGCAATATAGCTGTTCATGTAAGCTTTGTTCCACTAAGACAATGTAAAGGATTTTTAAGGCAACATTAAAAAAAATAACAACAAATGGTATGCCATTTTCTTCAAAAATATATGGCTTTGGCAAAATGCTAGCACTGATAAGCAGTGCTCCCTTTAAAAACACCAGAACATCCTTGGAAATTTAGTCCTGTTGACCTTTAAGTCATTTCAGTCCAATTTGTTAACTTTCTAAACAATTTTGAAGACTTGACCACTGATGTTTAAAAGCCTTATCTATACAAGGTTATTAAATTTACATCTAAATCTAAACTGCCTGCGGCCACACAAGCGATAAAGCATTTTCTACCTCTCCACCCCAAAGATCTCCGTTGTGATGCTGCAAACAATGAACAGAAAGCTGGATTTAGGATTCAGTTTCAAAGAGAAGATTCACAACTTGTTAACAAAAGATAAAGCAGTAACTATGTCCTACACAAAATACAATTACTGAATTAACAGTGTTTAAAAAAAAAAAAGTATTTTTCCTGGTACATGCGGTGTTTAGAGAGCCACCAACATAAAATGTTCAAGCTTATCTTATGAGAGTTCAGAATTCATTCCTGTTGCCACAGCACTTAAGAAAGACACTTTATTTGACAGACTTTTATTTTACACAATCATACCTCTGGTGATTGTTGGAAATACTAAGTAATATCAAGTATCTTTCGTTTGATATTTTACTGATCTAAGTGAACACTACAAGTAAACCCTACTAAAATGAACTATCTGACAAGAAGAAATACGAAATGAGGAGAGAGCTTGCCTAAATACCAAAAATACACATCAATACAGCCCTTTATTTTCATATAACTGAATATGCAATTAGGTTATATGAACAAAAGTTACTACTCTCTTTTCAAAGCAACCTTTTATTTTAAAAAATGTCAAAGGACCAATACCCAAAAGGAATGTGAGTCAAAAGTATAAACCAAGTATGTCATTTTAAATTTTCCAGTAGCCACATCAAAAAAAGAAAAAAATCAAGTGAGATTAATTTTAATGCATGTTATTTAATCCAATGTATTGAGAATATATCTATTCAAAGTGTGATCAATACAAAAATTATTAAAGACAGTTAGATTTTTTTTCATCCCAAGCGTGTATTTTACAATGAGAAAATGTCAATTTAGACTTGCACATTTCAAGGACTCAACAGCCTGTGAAGGCTAGTGGCTACTAGAAAGGTCCGCACAGGTCCAGTTAATCCCTTTATTAGAGCAAGGGCAAAACTAGATTTTAGCACTCTATTCCTCCACATCACCTGCTTATAATAGGGTTTCTGGTTTCCTTCTAATTGATGAAAAAAATTTTTTTTCAATGATGGGAAAAAAGGAATATTACTTACCCCTGAAATTACCTTTGAACTACCCAAAGAAAAATTATAGGTAAATTCCCATTAAATGGAAGATAATTAACAACCTATTGTTAATACAATGACTTCCAGTTAGTTTAAAACTGGACCTAAGGAGAAGGAAGGAGATCCTAAAATGTGCATTCATTTGCTAAGAATTCCAAGGAATTGCAGGAATGAGGGGGATACTGGCAGCTTTCTCCCCCTAAGCACCCCACCTGCGTCTGTTAACGAATTCTGTACTTCACTCATGGTGAAGGCTTGTGTCCTAATTAGTGCATCTCTTATGCAGCTCTGCATAATGCTAGGCTGGATGCTTCTTTTAAAAAGGAAGGACAGGGCCTCCCCGGTGGCGCAGCGGTTGAGCGCTGGGTTGCAAAGCTGCCCGCAGCCTCTGCAGCACCGGTTCGATCCCTGGCTGCTCCCCGGCCACTGGAGGAGGGTCCCACATGGCGCACAGACCTCTCCTGCTGCCCGCTGCTCCCCTCAGCAGTGTACTTCGTCAGTCTGCCTGTTCTGCTCCCCGCTCTGGCTCTGGTGAATTCTCTCACCCTCCCGCGCTTCTGACTGTACCCAGTGCTTGTATAAATAAAAATAAAAAAAAAATCTTTAAAAAAATAAAAATAAAAAAAATAAATAAAAAGGAAGGACACATCTATGTCATTCATTACTCTTCAGCATTGTCTGGTAACCAGCAGGTACAGCCTACAATGTACCTAGCATGCAATAAGGCATAGAACTTCAGGGCTGGAGAATATAAGGTGGTTAACAGAACACTGGCTCCAACTGTAACCCAAAGCAGAAATCCCCTCCACAATAATTGTAGATGGTAGAGACCCACCACTGTGTAAACAAAGACTCCAAATCCTGATGGCCCAACAGTTGGCTGGGTCACAAAGATGTGTTCTGACTTCCCTCCCCTAAGTTGAGCTGGCACAGCAATTTTAAAGAACGTGACCAACCAGCACCCCCAGTTCCACATAATTCACTAGCGCCAACTGGCTACAGCCCGTTCATGCAAGACATCCTGTTCATCTCCACAGTCCTGAAACAGGCACCCAGCCTCCAACAGGGGAGGTGGGGTGGGACATCAGGGAGGTGACTGCTGGTTTTCTTAGAGCAGTGAATGGGAAACAAAGTGGTGGCTGTTCTACATCAAAGAATTATGAAGCAGTATTATGCCTCGGACCTGCTTCATGTACCTCTTTGGCCCCTGCATCTCAGCTTGACTCCTTAACTTAGACACTGGCAGTGACAGGGGTCTGCTCAAATCAGGTCCACTGCTTGTCTGGACAGCCTTAGGGTTCACTGTCTCTAGTACTAGGTTGAACGTGGCATTCCTATTCCCTCTGCTCGCTGCTCTGGAATCTCCGCTCTGAAGACACTTGTGTCATCCACAAGACAGCCATCATATTCTGCGGTCATACCTTCCCCAAGTCAAATGTTCTTATTCCTAGAATTGATCTCCACACAGAAGTTTTCTAATATCCTCCCTCAGGATATAATCACACTTAATAGCGTTCTTCCTGAAGAAGAGAGGAACACAGCTCAGTAATTCGATTTCAGAGCTAGATATTGTAAAGCGTGGTGAAGGGCATCTCTTGTTCCAGGAAAAAAAGTCATTATTATTGAATAAAAGCCATTATAGGCATAAATCTCATAGCACAGACATTATTTAATATCCACTCAACACATATTTACTAAACATCTACGGAGTAGTGCAGAAAGTTCCTGAAAACAGAAAGTTAACCAGACATCACCTAGTTAACTATACTACATCTTTCCTATCAAGCCCACATAAAAACTAATCAAAGTTTAAGAATGAAAGCCTCTAAAAATACAGGATTTCAAGAAATACACTATGTGAGTTCAACTGGATTATAAATAGAAATATTGGTACATATCTAAAATTCCTTTTAATGGCCTGTGCTGAATATAAATATATAAAATGTGAATTTCCCTGGGTTGGTGAGGCAGGCGTCCCTAGAGAATAAAAATCTACCAGAATGTGAAGTTTATCGATCACAGCTATTCCTTTCTGGGGCCCAGGTCCCTCGCAGGCAGGGAAAAACACTAAGGAGATGACTTCACAATGAACAGAGCACCCTCTCTGACCTCATCCTCTCTGCACCCCATTGGGACCTGATACTCGTGTTTTGCATATACGTATGATTTTTATGTGTGTAAAATAGCTCCCAAGCAATGGGTGATCACCATTTCAAGAAAAATACAAGTTTTTAAATTAGACTCCACTGTTAGAACCAGTCTGCCCTCATCCACACTGATGGGTACACAGACATACTAGGACCCCAGGAGACACTACCTCGGTAAGGACCAATAGATGGCATTTGCAGTTAAAGAGAGAAACTCTTGTTTAAAAAGCTTTTACAAGGGCCTTCCTGGTGGCGCAAGGGGTTAAGCACCACACTTTGAAGCAATCCGCAGCCTCTGCAACATGAGTTCGATCCCCAGCCACCAGGGAGCAACCCACATGGCACAGCAGACCTCTCCTGACTTGCCTGCTGCTCCCCTCAGCAGTGTATTTCAGTCAATCCACCTTTTCTGCTCCCCACTCTGTCTCTGATGAATCCTCTCACCCCCTGCATCTCTGGCCTGTACACCAGCTCTTGTGTGCATAAATAAATAAATAAATCTTAAAAAAAATAAAATAAAAAGCTTTACAAGATCAAAAAGTTAGAGTCTTATCCTGTAAGAGGGAGACATGGACAGAGTGGACTAGAAGGATAAGCTTAAAACCTGAAAAGCTCATTTCCCAGGGTGCCCAAGTCCTTGTCCTCACAGAAAGGGGTGCCTAACGTGATGCTGGGGTGCTTCCACCCCAGCTTCCACCCACCGTGGTCCTCACTGCAGATCCTTTATTTCTCAATGGTCTGTTCCCAGTGATTTCAAACTAATTCTGATATACATTAACCCTGCCGTGGATGTCAAGAAAGAAACATTATCCCAATAGGAAACAAGCGAAACACTGGATCTATAAATCTAATCACATCTCCTTCCAGTACTTTGTTACAGAATTCCACCACTATTTAGCTTACGTTGCAAATCCTTGTTTTAAAATATGGATTACAAATGGCTGAAAAAAAAATAAAACTGAAACGCTATATTAGTCCTCTAAAAAAGTCCTATAGAATTAGTCATTCGGTTGCCTCCCCACTTAACCCAGTATATTTATTTACATGCGTTGTGCGTAGAGATTTCCCTGGTAAGTACTTCAGTAGCCCATCATTTTACCCATCTAGAGAATGTCACAGGGTCAAAGCAGCCCCAAAATACAGACACACTAATAAGGGGTTTAGAACAAAAGTGGTATTCAGTATCCAATATCTAAGCCCATACCAAATGTCAGTAAGAATTCATTTCAACATCTTAAAGAGGGGAAGCTGCCTTTATAAGCACACTGTTATTTTATTCAACTGGAAAGATTAACCCTCACAACAGAAAATAGCAAAACTAATTTCCCTCCCAGAGTTATCACTGAATGTCTATCTGAGCTCCCCCACCCCGCGGTTCTAGCACATACCTGGTCTGTTAATTCTGTCAAGTTTGTCCATGCTTGGGGAGGGGAGCCGGATCCTGGGACTGCTCTGATTGGAGTTGTCTGATCCCATGTCACAAAGCGAGTCATCAGCAGTGAGTAAGAGCTCTTTCACACATTTGTGACAAATACTGTGTTGACAGGGGAGAATCAACGGGTGGGTGAATAGCTCCTTGCAGGCGGGGCAAACAAGCTCTCTCTCGATATTCTTAATGGTAACCTTCAATTGAGAAAAAGAAATCAGGTCAAAAGGTTCTTAGTGAATAAATATATTAACACCTTTTGTGTAGGTACAATTCTATACCATCAGCATCCCTCAAAGTACAGTCTAGAACTGAAGGGACATGAAGTGGTTTTTAAAAAGTTTAAATATGAGAAAAATTAAAATATTAGGGGACCATGACAGTCGATCGACAATTATGCAGTCATTACAACTTACTAACTCAGTGAAATCCTAAATGCACAGTGTTTCAATAAAAATTAAGAATGTAGCACAAAAAGGAATCCGTACTTGCATTTAATGCATTATGTGACTGGCAAATATCACAAACTAGTAAAAATGGAGTTGACCAGTGTGCTCCAAAGTCCCACTGAAATCTTTAGAAACTAAATTATCAACAGTTTTCCACATTCAGCGTGCTGCTTTTTCATATGCTGCAAAAGTAAACCAGGAAAAAATGCTTGACATTCTCAAACTGCACATCCAAGCAGTTACTTAAAAGCACGTATAAATATTAAAAGGGTGTCGGGGCTTCCAAGGCATGATCATAAGTGCCATCAACACCACAGGCTTGCATTATCTTTACTGAGAAACATTTTAGACTAAGTGCAACTAACAAGATTTGTGGCTCCCTACCACCCCCATTTAGCTTCTCTACCCATGTAGCCCAAACTGGGGAGGCTATGAGTCTATATTTATCATCCCTGTAATTCTAAAGACAGTAGTCTAAGGTTCTCATGAACTTTACACAGTCATTTCAACTACTGAAAATATTCAGAAATTGCAAACCGACCTAATTCACTTATTTTAATTAAATACAAATGTATGCAGGTTTATTCTAAAATGCCACAGAGGGCTTCATAGCTTTATTAGCTCACCCTTGTCAATGGGCGTTTTACTGCAGCATGGCTTCATGCATCACCCAATCTATACTTAGTAAGAGCCCTCTTGTCACAATTTTAATAAATTTGGAAGCAAGATAGCCCCCACCTCAATAAGGCACATAAAAAAAATGCAGAATAGTCACATCTGTGGCATTTCAAGAAGGCGGGTTAACACCTAACTCAAAAGCTTCTCTCCCGCTGGGAGATCTAAAAGCACTTCCATTCCACCGGTACTTAAAGCAATATAGAACCTTTCTAATCGCCATAGATAGAAAATATTCTCACTCATGGGCCTGCTGGTGGCGCAAGGGGTTAAGCACCGCACTATGAGGCAATTTGCAGCCTCTGCAGCACGGAGTTCCATCCGGTGGACCAGGGAGCAGCCCACATGGCGCACAGCCCTCTCCTGCCTCGCCCGCTGCTCCCCCCAGCAGTGTATTTCATCAGTCTGCCTGTTCTGCTCCCCACTCTGTCTCTGGTGAATCCTCTCACCCCCCCCCTCCCATACCTCTGGCCTGTACCCCAGCTCTTTTTTAAATAAATCCTTAAAAAAAAAAAACAATTACAAATAAATCATAGTATCACCTCACCAATAAGAAAAAGAAAAAAAGAAAAGAAAATATTCTCACTCCAAAGAAAAATGAGTGTTCCTTCCACATTCATCGAGGGGAAACAATCTGATTAAGAGAAATGCAACGTGGTGGGTCCCACGACCAAGCTGTCTGAAAACAGATGAGGCTGAAGAGGAAACAAGTTGGGAAACTGTGGGTCCGACGCCTTCAGGCAAAAACAGCAGCACCCCGACAGCTGGCTGCGCGAGCCGGCCTCCCCTCATCGTGGGGTTTGGGGGGCGCCTTGGGCGGCGGGCGCCGGCCAGCGCCGCCCGCGGGGTCCGGGGGGCCTCGAGCGCCGGCCCCACGGCGCTGCAGACAAGGGCAGCCCTTGCGGGGCGCGCGCCCCGAGCCGCGCGCGGCCCCCGACTCGCGGAAGCCAGTTCCCTCTACAGCCTGCGCCCCACTTACGAGCCCCGCCCCGACTCCCCGCGGTGCTCAGGTGGGCGAGGACCGCACCCCAGCGGCGCCTCTTCCGGGCGCGAGCCGGCACCCCGAGAGGAAGCGGAGCCACCGCACGCGCGCCCCGGCAGCTCGGAGAGGAGGCTCCCGGCGCGCCCCACCCCGCCGCAGCGCCGGCGCAGCGCCGAGGAAGGGGCGCGCGGGCCCCCGGCGTGGCGCCCCACTCACCAGCGAGTCCGAGCCGTCCCCCTCCATGGCGGCCCCCTCCAGGTGTCATCAACGGCGGGGGCGCGCGGGGGCCCCGGGCAGGGCCGGTGGGCGGGCCCCTGCGCCGGCCGCGGAGCGCGGGTTCCCAGGCGAGGGCGCGCTGGGCGGCCGGACCCGGCCAGCGGACCGACGCGGCGAGGAGCAGCCGGGGCAGGCGACGGCACGGGCCGGAGAGGCGCGCTCTGCTCCCGCGACGGCCCGAATCCCGCCCGCGGCCGGCTGCGCCGGCGGCTCCTGCGGTCTGCGGCGGGGCGGGCGGGCGGCCGCGGGGGCTGGGCGCGGCGGGGCGGGGCGGGGCCGGGGCGGCGCCGTCGCCCGGGCAACAGCGACCACCGCACAAAGCGGGCGGGGCAGCCGGGCTGGGGGTGCGGCGCCCGGGGGCTCCGGAGGCCGCCGCCTCTCCCGCGTGTCGCCCCGGCCCCGGGGGTAGCCGGCCTGGCGGGGGCAGAAGCGAGGGGCGGGCCAGGGGTGGGGCCGCCCCGCGGAGCTGCAGCTGGCTGCGCCCCAACCCCTGCTCGGCGCGCATTCTCCCCTCTTTATTTTGCTTCACCTGAGCTCTGGCACGCGGCGGCGCCCAGCATCACCCGCAAACCCCACTTTCAGAGTCTGGACGGGCTGGTGCGGGCGCGGGTCGCCCCCGGCACCGCAGCCAGCGCCGGCGAGCCTCGGGCGAGAGCGCGCGCACCCCGCCCGGGCCGGGGCTTCCCCGAGACGTCTCGCCCGCTCGTCTTGCAGCGCGACCCCCCGACTGCCCACACGCCCCTCAATGCGCTTCCCGCTGCTGCCTCTGCACACCCCGCCGATGCGCTCCGGCGCGAGAGGCGCGGGCCAAGGCCGAGGGCTCCGAGGTCCCTCGCCTGGGTGCTGGCCAGGACTTGAAATCCAGAGACCGCGGCTGCAGCCCCCCCCCCCCCGGCTCCCCTGTCCCCTCAACCGCGCTGGGGACAGCGGGCAAGGGCTGCCCAGTACCCAGCGCTGGGCGCCCGCCTAGTGCCACGGTCCACGCTGCCCACCCAGCTTGGGGACCGGCGGCGCAACGTTCACCTGCCAAGTTGCAAGCGTGTTTCTTCTGGCTTGTTCGCCAGCAAACAGAAAACAAGTCAACCTGGGATGGGCGGAAGCATTATTATTAGATCACACCACTGCATTCCCTGTGTAAATAATTCCATCCCTACTTAGACATGGAGAGAACCGGATCTCCAAACAGCAGGGGAGAGGGGCCATGGAGCAGTACCTGGGCATCCCGTTTAAGTTTGGAAATGCTCCCCACTTTTATTTCCTATTTGGGAGAAGTCGCTCCCTGCAGCAACTTCCCACAGCACTGCTGCCAGGGGCACCCTCTGCAACCCGACATTTAAATAACGGTGCAGTGGTGTGGCCTTAAGAACAGTCAGGGACCTAGGGACCATAGCGATTGTCTTTAATGCAATAACGTCAATTTACAGCAAGGTGCACAGAGGGTTAACACCTTGCCAAGTGATGACCACACCATGATCCGGGTTAATGCCGGTTCTGTGGCCCCACGAGCTGGAGTTGAGGCCACTGCCATCCCACGGGTGCTGAAGTGTCTTAACCAGGAGGGGAAGAAGGAAAATAACTAATGCCGGCAAAATTTAGATGTCTAAATCATGTCTTGACATCATGTTCCCACATAGATTTTGAAAGGCAAGACCATTAAAAAGTTATCAGGTGTCAGTTTGTGTTTTTAATACTGCAGTTGGGATTAAGCAATTAACTGCAAACTCACATGAGCATATTTGAATAGTGGTTTGGCCCAAAACTAGTTCACAGAATAGAACATTGGAAGGCTTCGTGAATAAAAACTAAAGATAGGCAGCTCTCCGGCCCACCTGTGCCTATGCAGGTGCCTCGCTTAATCTCCTATTCCTCATAAACCTGTCCCTATTTTTTTAAAGATTTATTTATTTATGCATACAAGAACTGGGGTACAGGTCATAGAAGGGAGGTGAAAGGATTCACCAGAGACAGAGTGGGGAACAGAACAGGCAGACTGACTGAAATACATTGTTGAGGGGAGCAGCAGGCGAGACAGGAGAGGTCTGCTGCGCCATGTGGCTGGCCAGGGATGGAACTCCTGCTGCAGAGGCTGTGATTGCTTCACTGTGCGATGCTTAACCCCTTGCACCACCAGGGAGGCCCTAAACATGTCCTTTTAAAACGTAAAAACAAACCAACCAAGAACTGGAGATAAAACTGGTACAGATAATACTCAACTGAACATAAATTTGTGCAAATCAAACTTCAAAGAGATCATTTTCCACCTAATTCTCAAAGTTAAAAAAAAATATGGCAGGGCCTCCCTGGTGGCACAAGGGGTTAAGCACCGCACTATGAGGCAATCCGCAGCCTCTGCAGCATGAGTTCGATCCCCGGCCGGCCAGGGAGCAACCCACATGGCGCAGCAGACCTCTCCTGTCTCACCCACTGCTCCCCTCAGCAGTGTATTTCAGTCCATCTGCCTGTTCTGTTCCCCACTCACTCTCTCTCTCTGGAGAATCCTCTCACCACCACCCCCCACATCTACGGCCTGTACCACAGCTCTTATATGCATAAATAAATAAATCTTTTTTTATTATGGCAAAAATACACTTGGCAACAAGGTGAGGAATTAATAAGCACTTTCACATTGTTGGGTGAGAATAAAGATGGCACAGCTTATTGAAAGAAAATTTTGCAGATCTCATCAAAAATTTACAATGTTTAGGGCCTCCCCGTTGGCGCAGCGGTTGAGCGCTGGGTTGCGAAGCTGCCCGCAGCCTCTGCAGCGCCGGTTCAATCCCCGGCCTCCCCGGCCACCGGAGGAGGGTCCCACATGGCACACAGACCTCTCCTGCCGCCCGCTGCTCCCCTCAGCAGTGTACTTCGGTCCTTCTGCCTTTCTGCCTGCTCTGCTCCCCGCTAGGGCTCTGGTGAATTCTCTCACCCTCCCATGCTTCTGAATGTACCCAGTGCTTGTATAAATAAATAAAATAAATTAAAAAAAAATAAATCTTTAAAAAAAATTTACAATGTTTATACCTTTAACTAAGTAATTCCACGTCTAAGATTTTTTTTTCCTACTGAAATATGAGCACGTGCACACAAAATCCCATACAGAAATCTTATTGAGACCTTATTTGTAGCAACTAAATACCTATCATCCATATTGTACATCCACACTATGGAAATAGTATGCATCCCAATGAATGGAATGATGAGAAAGGCATCCACGGTATAATGTTAAACTACAAAACCACATGGATTCTATATGTGACCACGCTGGCAATGAAGATGAGACAGGTATATGTACTTACATAGGCAAATATGGAAATAAAATAAGTCTCTGAAATAGAAACCAAAAAGTAGTAACAGTATTTCAGAGAAGCAAGAAGATGGAGGTGTGGGGGACTAACTTCTCACATGGTATAGCAGGCATTTTACAATATGGGCATGTTTAACTTATAGAAACTTTCTAGTGTAATTAAATCCAGAAACTTTTTAATCCACATTTATTTAAATTCTTTAATCCATAAGCTTTTGAAAAAAAGATTTATTTATGCATACAAGAACTGGGGTACAAGCCAGAGGTGCCAGGGGGTGAGAGGATTCACCAGAGACAGAGCGGGGAACAGAACAGGCGGATCTACTGAAATACACTGCTGAGGGGAGCAGCGGGCAAGTCAGGAGAGGTCTGCTGTGCCATGTGGGTAGCTCCCTGGCCGGGGATCGAACTCATGCTGCAGTGGCTGCAGATAGTTTCATAGTGCTGAGGATTAACTGCCTGTGCCACCAGGGAGGCCCTCCATAAGCTTTTTTTTTTTCTCTCTTTTTTGGTGGGACCCTCGCCGGCGGCCAAGGAATGAACCAGTGCTGCAGAGGCTGCGGGCAGCCTCACAGCCCAGCACTCAACCGCTGTGCCACCAGGGGAGGCCCCCTCCATAAGCTTTTAAAAGCAAACCGGGGGGCCTCCCCGGTGGCACAGCGTTTGAGCACTGGGTTGCGAAGCTGCCCACAGCCTCTGCAGCGCCAGTTCTATCCCCGGCCGCCGGGCGAGGGTCCCACATGGCGAGCAGACCTTTCCTGCCACCCTCTGCTCCCCTCAGCAGTGTACTTCGTCAGTCTGCCTGTTCTGCTCCCCACTCTGGCTCTGGTGAATTCTCTCACCCTCCCGAGCATCTGACTGTACCCAGTGCTTGTATAAATAAATAAATAAATCTTTTAAAAAAATAAAAAATAAAAGCAAACCGGGAAGGGGCATATTGATACATATGAAACCGACCCTTCTAAACCACCACACTCCACTCTTAGGTAACTCCTATTTCCCTCCCTTGGCTGCCAGGTTTTGGCTCATCAATTTGTCTCTTTCAACATTAACACACCCCAGCCTCTTATCAAAAATACCAAGATCCTTCCCAGTTGCTCCAGTTAAAATCTTGCAGAATACTTTTTTAACCCCCTCTCCTCTGCCCCCTATGCTTCTGGTCAGTCTTAAATCCTGTTGTTTATTATGAAAGCCCTTTCTGATCCTCACATATTGCTGTGCGCTCCCTCAGCGCAGGGGCGGGATAAGCTGTGGTCCTGACACAGCAGCTGAGCCTGGGGATCTACCCGGGAGGTGATGATGTCTGTGTCGGGTGAGGGTTATAGCAGAGCAAGGGAAGCCTTCGGTGATGGCAGTCTGGTGTGGAGGGCCTGGACTACCATGCTGCTCTTCTGGAGTTGCTGGGAAGCTTTTGAAGGCTTTTAGGTGAGAATGACATGAAAGTTCTTAGTGTGCATGTTTTAAAAATCACTGCCCAATTTGAATTGCATGTGCTGTCCTAGCCCTGTCTGAAATACCCTAACTCCCTTTCCAATTGTTTTTTTTTTTTTTTAATATGGGTCAAAATGGAGTGCAGGCAGTGATTTTATACCCCCCCTTCACACACACACACGCACACACACACACACACATTCCACAGGACTTCAGTACACTCCTGTCAACACTGTGATATGGTACCAGGTGCTTGTGGGTTTGTTTCTCTGCTTTTCTGTCACA